ATTAGGTGCCTCAGCTGATACTCGGGTCAGCTTATACTTGGCTTTATATGGTTCCTTTTTCTTCTAAACGGTTTAGGTGGAGGGTTTACCTTTCAGACTATCAACTCTGCAATCAACAGTTCAAACCACTCACCAATCACCACTCTGTATTCTCTCCCTCCATCTCCCCTGCTTGCTTTCTCCCTTTATGGACCTTTGTTCTCATGTACACACCCAAATATATACCTGTTAACCTTCAGTTTTTTTATTCATCTTCCACCTTTGCTCTCACTCCCTGGGGAACCTCCAGAGTCTGTTGTTCCTTTTGGTATTCCAGTCTTTGTCATGGCATAGTAGTGATCTCATACAATATTTGCCCTTTTGTCATAGACTAACTTCAGGTCCATCCATGCTGTGAGGTACTTTGTGGTTCCATCATTATGTTTTAGCAGGGCGTAGTATTCCATTTGTGTATGCACCAAAATTTCTTTATCCATTCTTCTCCTGTTGAGCTTTTGAGCTTTTCCAACTTCTTGCTATTGTGTACAATGCTGTAATGAACATGAGAGTGCATATGTTTGTCCATGTTATGGCTCTTCTTTAGGTTATATACCCAATAGAGGTACTGCTGGCCTGTATGGAAGTTCTATTCCCAGTTGTTTCAGACGTACCACATTGCTTTCACAATGCTTGTATGTGCACTTGTTTTTTGTGATGTCTGTATTTGGCTTTGGTATCAGGGTAATGCTGGCCTCTTAAAATGAGTTGAGAACATTACCCTTTGCTGTTTTGCTACTTTTCCCTCTTTTGAATTTTGAGTGCAGGTATTGTACAGTTTTGTTATTGACTTAAAAAAATACTAATGTCATTTTTAGTGTCCTTTTTATGAGCCATGCGTTAAAATTTTCATTAAGCTGACTGGGAATACGACTCCTGAGCAAAGTACTAGTGGGATTTTTGGTATTCCACTGAAATCTGCCCAGAACACTGACCTTCTTAGATGGCCCTTATCGAAAACGGCCCATAAAAGGCCCATAAAACTGAGAAGAGGGACTGTGGGGATGCAGTCAAGCCTTTACATGGAATTAGGCAAGAGAATTTAAGAGGATTACCAAAGGAACATTACAGGGTCATGGTAAGTCAGGAAGTTTTACTTTAAGCCATTGTTTTCCATCCATTAACAATTAATAATCTATGTAAAGGAGAAGGTCTTTGCATTTTAGTTCTTTTGATTCCATTTATATGTTTGCCAGCAATGTAAAAAGACAGGAGTACTTCTATTTATTTTGAAAGGAATATGTTTAAAATTTGTACCTTTAAGCTTTCTGTATTTTAACTTGAGAAATTTTTAAAAAGAAAATGAATTTAATGCTATCAGTTAGGAATGATTATTAGCATTTTTGGAGTCTTCAAAGCAGTTAACTGTAAGTGAAGAAACTACTGTTTATATGAGTAGACAAGAAAAAGTAAGTGTCTAAACTTATATATTGTGATTAGAGCTGTATGAGCCCCCAATAAAATGATTTAAAAAAACATCAATGTCTAAATGAATTGAAATCTTAAAACAGAACTGTCTTTAATTTGGGTAGACTAGTTTTGAAAAAAAATCACATGAATATTTCAACCTAATTGTTATACACTTTAATTAATTTAATATTTCTCCTCTAATTCTTGAAATTTTTGTTTATTTTGATTGTGAAGTATTCTTTTAGAAAAAACACATTTTCAAAGAAAAAATTAGTATGCACCTTCATTTTGCTGATTCAGTATCAACTGAAACTACCAGCACAATTTTTTGTCTAAATGTTAGTAACATGTAATCCAAATTCTTTGCTGTGATTGGCTAATGTAATGTTTTCATTGAGAAATTAGTTTGTCAATAACATGTGATTTGGGATTGAGATGGTGCTCACAAAACAGGTTGAGTGTTGGGGCATTGGAAGGGGTTAGTGTAACTCATGAACATGCTTTGGAGAAGTCATTCCAGTAGAGGGAAAAAATAGCATTTCATCTTTCTTGAAATGAGAAGACCACTTGTACACTTGAGTTTTCCCATAGTACTGCCTAGTAAGCTGTGTTCAACATCACATCAGTTTTTGCAGCATTTTTCCTGAGCAGAAAGCAAAATTTCACAGCTGCGTGCTGTTCTTTTATTAAGTATTTATTTTATTGGGGATGTATGCTGCTCTTTTAGAGGTTCGAGTGAAACTGCTTTCATGAAAAAATTCACTGTGACCAGAGAGAACCTTTCAAGGGGATGCCACTGGGTGCACTAACTCAGAG